CATAGCCGTACTGCTTGATGTGTATCTGCGGCAGCCCATACCGTCGAGAAAATGGAAAACGCAATAATTAGTCCGGTGTATAAGGTGGAAAGCAGAGACTTAGTAACTATCGACCCGTTGGTCCAATCATTGCAGTTGTAAAGCTAATTTTTAAAGATTATTCGGGATGCTGTCATAAACTATATGAAAGGGCATAATCTTTTATCCAGGAAACAATATGGTCTTCAAAGAAATCCTGAATTGCTTGACAGATCTGCTCATCTCAAGAGAGGATTGGGCTTCAGCAAAAGATCGAAATATTCCTGTAGATGTGATTTTCATAGATCTAAGTAAAACTTTTGATGATGTCTCTTTTTTAGGTCTTAAATTAAAACCGGGAAGTTTTGGAATTTATTATAAGGTCATAGAATAAGTGGTTTTCTCGACGATAGAAGGCAGAGAGCAGGGCTAAATGGAACTCTCTCAACATGAGAACTTGTAAAAAGTGAAGTGCCCCAAGGTACAACCCTTGGTCTCCTTCTATTTTTACTTTATGCAAATGAATTACCAACTGCAGCTAAATCATCTGTTTTATTCTTCGTCGATGACATAAATATTCGGAGACTCGTACACAGTATGTCAGATAGAACAGTATTACAGGATGATCCCACCTCATTCATTCAGTCAGTCAGCTTCAACGTAGGACCAGGCACGTATATGCATCGGTCCAGGTTGCCATACCGCATTAGCACAACAAGATGAACACCGGATTCATAGAAGTAGTTAATTCAGTGGTGGTAATATATAGAAGAAAGATTGTGTATAAGGAGATAGTACAGGAAGAAAGATTTAGTACGTCGAAAGATATGAAGCGATTTTAATCTCTTAATTTAAGGAAGACAGAGAGTGTATACACCGACGCCATTGTGATCGATTCTGAGCCATGTCACCAAGAGTCACACTTAGGTGGTTCTGAAAACGAGACTGACCCAGATGTTGCTTGGAAAGTTATACAAGCAGCTGTGGAAACAGCAGTGACATCTACCAGTGAGTTAAACCACAGGGTTACAAAGATCCAATGGATTTCGTCAAGGTCTATTGTTTTGATAGATTCTCGCAAACTCATCCCATCAGGTCTTGAATACGATGAAGAGCGTAAAGAAATCAAATCTAGATTAAGCAAAAGTCTAAGGAATGATCGTGAGCAGTGGTGGGCAACGAAAGCAAAAGAGATGGAAAAGGCGGCGGCTATAGGGAACACAAGACAACTCTACAGACTAATAAAAGAAACTGGAATTAATAAATCAAGTGTAAGTCAGACCATTTCGGATATATACAAGCAGAAAGAATAAGTTCCTAGAAAGAAAGATATGTAGTGATTTTGATCTCTGAGTTTAAGGGAAAGCGTATACACCGACGCCATTGTGATCGATTCTGAGCCATGTCACCAACAGTCTCCAACCATTGGTTACAATAGTCACGCGGACCCCAACCAAGTAGTCTGCATCTACCAACATGGCTCAGATCAGAAGTTAGTGACTTCAAGCACTGATGCCACGTTTTGGTTTAGCCGCCCCTATCTTTCTTCCAATCATCCCTAACACCGGTTAGCATTGTGCGTCGTGGTAAACGGTGTTCAGGCATACGCAGCACGTGGCCCAACCATCTCAGTCGATGAAGATTCATAACCTCATCAACTGATTTACCGTCATTTCCTAATACCTTGCGTCTAACCTCATTATTACTTACCCGGTGATCCCAGCAGATACCCGCAATATTTCTAAGGCACCTGTGGTCAAATACTAGTAACTTACGAATATCTTCTTCGCTTAAAGGCCATGTTTCGCAGCCGTATAGTAGAATGGAACGAACTGCCGCGCAGTATACTCGTCCCTTAATTGATAGTCGGATATATGGCCTTCGCCATAGGTGAAGTAAGTTGGCAAAAACCAAACCAGCTTTCTGAATCCGTGCAGAGATTTCGCTAGACACCAACCCATTGGGGCTGGTCAGACTTCCAAGACAAGTGAAATTTTCGACACGTTCGATTACTTCACTCCCAATCCTTAGTCCTGGTGTTGACGCAGGCAGTCCTGGGGCAATAACTTGCATATAGAGGTGGAAAAACGCACCGCAAACATTCTGGCATTGTTGCTCAGTGTTATCAAAAGACTTTGCATTTCATCACCATCTTCACCAAACAGGACTATGTGATCTGTATATTCTAAGTCGGTAAGTGGACCTCTTGGTAGGAGATCGATTCCCGAAAATTCAGTGGACGCGAACGTTGTTTCCATCAGTACATCTATGATGAATTTGAACAAAAATGGAGATAGTGGACAGCCTTGACGGACCCAATTAAGGTTGTAAAAACAAATGACGTTTCGCCATAAGCTCTGACTCGACTAGTAGTGTTCGAGTAAAGAGCCTTCACACGGTATATGTACTTCTGAGGTACACCTTTCGATGACACACTGCCACAGAACCTCTCGGTCTATAGAGTGAAATGTTTCTTTTAAGTCAAGAAAAACTATTATAGTCGGACGCCGATAAGCATGCCTGTGTTCTAGAACCTGACGAATGGTGAATATGTTGTTTATGCAGCCACGACCAGGTCTGAAGCCAACCTGATATTCTCGTGTTTGCAGTTCACGAGTCTTTGCTAGGCACCCGATAGTTATTGAGGCTAGTATTTTAGATGCTATGCTGGTTAAACTAATCTCTATATGGTTATCATAGGATGATTTTGACCCCTTCTTATATATTGGGACGGTAAGTGATTGTGCCCAGTCAGATGGGATCACGTCGAACTCCCAGATTTTAGCAAAAATATTAGTTAACTTAATTGCTAAAACTAGACCACTATTCTTAAAGATATCTGGAGCCAATCCATCTGAACCAGCTGCTCTTCCTCGTTTCAGATTAACTAGAGTCGGGGGACCTACTTCAATGTTCCATTCACGCTGTCTGAGAATGGTGGGTATTTGTAGAGTAGCTGGAGGTCAGCTGAATTGCTCCTTAAAGTGTTCCGCCCATCGTTTTAAACGTTTAGGCTGAGAGCAGATGAGAGTGTCGTCTTTTTCCGAAATGGTTTCACATACACTTTTTAGTTCCAGTTTCTTTTATTAGTCTGAAGAGCTGTCTTGTATTACCTAAAACCGCGCAGGCAGATGCGTGCTCGTATTAAGGCATAGTCGGAGTCAAGGTAGGTACTCCAGAATGAGCGACAATCTTCTATTGACCCTATCCAACGATGACTGATGGTAATATGGTCTATTAGAGTCCATCGTTGGTTAAAATGTGTGTTTGCTAAAAATAAACGTTGTCTGAGCACAATTGCAGCAAACGATCCTCATTATCTGTTCGCTGTGCCGGAATACTAAAATACCCACCTAAATTTCTTTCTGTTTCGTTTAAGCTACCTACCTGGGCATTAAAGTCACCTGCTACGAGTACTATGTCTGAACGTTTAGCTTTCTGAAGAAGTTCAGAGAGTTTTCTGTAAAATTCATCTTTCACTTCATCCGAGCTGCAGTCAGTGGGAACGTAGGCAGAAACGACGAAGAGGCAACAACGTGTGTCTCTATCCTTCCGAGTTCGTACGGAGCCGAACGACGACTATCAACGGGGATCCATTCTAATAGTGCTCGTTCCGCCCTCATGCTTAGTGTTATGCCTACACCTTCCAGTCCACGAGAACTATCCATCGGGTCGCCAGATACACGGAGGGCGTATCTCGTCGAGGTAAGGTCAAGTGAATGACCACGCTAGGACCGTGTATGTGTGTTTCGGAGACACAGCATACATCAATGGTACGAGATTCTAAGGTTTTAGCCAAGGAAGCCTGCTGACCGATTTGGCATAGTGTGCGTACGTTGAAGGCTCCAATGTGTAGTTTGGAGCGAGGTTTTAGTAGACCTGGGACAGTGTTTTGCGCACTAGAATCGTTGGCTATGGTGATACATGAGGAGGAAATCAAAGGAGGATAATTAGGTTTGAAAGTCGATGTAGGAGGAATAATAGGAATTGAAGAGGGAGGTTGATTATGAATACAGTGATCCTGAGTTCTGTTAAAGATATGAGGGCGGTTATCACTTCCCGGTTGCTCACACCGTGGCAAGGATGGGCGGATGGTCACTAGAAGTCGATTCCAACGAGATTGTGGTGATGCAGTTGAAAAACTATGATGTTTTATATAATTGCACAATACGTGGAGTTGTGTTACCCAAAGTAATAAGCAGCGGCCTCAAAACTACTCGCAACTGCAAGGCTGCTGTTGCCAAAGGCTTTACGGTATTATGGGCTGTTTGTAGGTCTTTTCGGTATTTGGACGAAAAAATGTTTGGATTATTATATTTGACCTTCGTCAGACTGTATTCGATTCGTGGGATTCAAGCAATGAATCCGTGTTTCAAGTGTGAGAGGGATATGCTCGGACGAGTCCAACGATGAGGGACTAATCTCGTAGGAGGTTTCTTTGATCTATTTTATGAAGACAGACTGGGACACCTTAACTTATTTCCGTTACCTTACCGTAGAATACGGGGTGATTTAATACCGGTTTATCGTATACTGAACGATGACCTTTGTATTATTATGTCTCATCTTTTTCTCCAATCTAAGACTGATCATTCGAGAGGACATTCTAAGAAAGTTCAAATACAGAGATCAAATCGCTTACGTCTGGAGTTTCGTTTCTCACACCAAGTAGTGAATTACTGGAATTCTCTACCGGAATACGTAATATCAGCACTTTTTGTTGGTAAATTCTAAACGAGATTGGAGCTCCACAGTGTTGCAATTTGCAAGGATTAATATAGGTCGATGGACCTCCTATCCTTATTACTGAAGACTGATCTCTTTTAAGGTACGAAAACACAAGTTAAAGCAAGGTGGACCTGAATATAAATAAAACAATTATGAACAATCAAAAAAAATTTTTAAAAGTAAAACCATGCATCTACAGGAATAGTTCTTTCGGATTGCGCAATAGTGATGGAATCCAATATTCACAAAACGGCGCTTAGCTTAATGTTTGATCGTTACTGCGCTAATTACGTATCTACCAATCTACATGGGCAGATTGTGACCAAATTTTACTTTCAACCGACTTTTTTTGTTGCGTTTTTAACTTTAGCATTCCGTAACATTTTTAATGTAGCACTTGAAACGCTGACTTCGATATTAAGTAAAAGATTCATTGGTCCGAAAAAAACAACCGTCAGTATAATTGGAGTAAACAATGTCGTGGTATGCTAACAGTTCTAATTATTCTTCTCCGTAATCTATGTTAAGGAAATCTTTAGGGCGTTTGCTATCTGGAATTAAAGGAGCTTACAATGATATAAACCCTGCGACGTTAACTGGAGCTATTGATGTGATTGTTGTCGAACAGAAAGATGGTTCTTTCACTTGTGGACCGTTTCATGTTCGGTTCGGAAAACTAACAGCTTTCTCTCCAACGGATAAGGCTGTTGAAGTCTATGTCAATGGTGAATTTGTCAACTTTTTACAGATGTCTTTAGGAAGTGCTGGTGATGCATACTTTGTAGACTCTTCGGGTTCAACAACAGATGAATTATTGACAGATCCCAATGACTGTCCAGGATTTACATATGATGACTCATGGTCTGAGATTCCCATGCGGCGTCATTCACGAAAGGTTCGACGGGACTCTGCAATGAGTGAACCGGGTACAGAATCTAACTTAATAAAAGAAGATATAGATGAATTATGTGGGACAAGTTATGAAGTTTCATCTGATTGTGAGGCTTCAAGTGATAGGGTTAGAGACTCCCGAAAGTGTTGGAATTCTGTTGGTGATAAATTTGCTTCTGACAGCCAGTTGGACGAAAGTTTAAAGGATACCGTAAGCAATTATAGTTACGATTGGGATCTGACGAAATATCAGCCACGTGGTAGCAGTTCTTGTGTCGTTAAAGATGTCACAAAAAGTGACGTAGTACGAGACCCTCATCTAAAAAACTTTACACATGAAAAAGAAGTGTACTTGGAAGAACTAGTTGCATCGGAAGTCGATCAAAATATTAAAGAGGTGTATATCTACCCCCCATCTCACGGAAATTTCACATATCAGTGTCAAGGATCATACAACGCTAATGACAACAACTGTGTTGACTACGGTTATCGTTCCGACAACGAACACTCTCCGAGAAGCATGTCACCCATCCATCCCCATGATTTAAGTTTAAGACTCTCGTTGTGTGGTGGTTTGTCTTCAGATAATCCTTGTTCTGAGGGGAAGTTTGTAGAGCACATAGTTTCTTATGAAGAATTTATACGTGACCCTAACACTATTTTATCTAATCCCAATCTTGTTGTTTACTTCAATGGGCGTTATTGCAATTGGCAAGTAGCTGCTCCTTCTATTGTCAGTTTACTTGCCTTTCAAACACAACTACCTTATCTGACTTTACAAAAGCTAGTGAACCAGTACTTACCCAAAAAGCAGTCTCGACGTACCTCTTGGTTCAGCTGGGGTGCAAGTCAAACACGAACTGTGGCTACAAACTCCGTAATTCCTGCTAAAACAGTCGATAATGCTGGAGAAAAACGGCTTGATTCCAGTTCCAGTTCACAACCACCTCAGGTAAGTTTGTCTTTGAGGTTAACTAATACTTCTAGGTACACACCACTCAAAGAGTTACTAAAATCAACAGACTTTCATCAAGTGAAGTAGCCAGATTGAAACTCAAACCTGGACGAAATGATATTGAGTTTCGTGTCACCACAAAGTATCAAGGGACTTGCACATGTTCAGCTTCTATTTATTATTGGCATTGGTATGACAAAATAGTTGTTTCTGACGTTGATGGAACCATTACACGTAGTGATTTACTTGGACACTTGCTTCCTATGGTCGGTCGTGATTGGACACACTCTGGAGTTGCTCGACTGTACAACCGAGTTCAAAATAACGGTTATCAGTTCCTCTATCTTTCAGCCCGGGCTCTCGGACAAGCAGGTATAACTAGGAGCTATTTAAGACAAGTCGTTCAGGATTCAGCATCCAGGTTGCCAGATGGACCAATACTATTGTCTCCGAATTCTCTTCTCCATGCCTTCCACCAGGAAGTCATTATTAATAAACCAGAAGTGTTTAAAACGAAATGCCTTCAAGATGTATGTTGTCTTTTTCCGAAGGGTTCCTCTCCACTGTATGCAGGATTCGGTAACAAGGTTAACGATGTTTTCGCATATCAGAAAGCTGGGATCGAGCTTTGCCGAATATTCACAATTAATCCGCGAGGAGAAGTTCGTAATGAATATCAGTCCCTAAGAAGTACAAGTTATCACGAGTTGGGAGATTTAGTGGATCTTCACTTCCCACCTCTTCGTAAGTACCAGACTACACATATACCACATCCTGTTGACTATCATTCTAGTTGTGTTATAAAGTCAGAAAATTCGACGCCAGCTGTTGCACATCCACCTGACACATTTGATCCCGTACTTGTTGATTTAACCGCGTTCTCTAGTTTTTCGTTTTGGAAATCTAATTACGAATTATCTTTTCCTCTTCCAAAAACACTGGAAAATTCTTAATTTATATATATGAAGTACATTTTCAAATTGCCTTTCTTGTTGCTCGCTTCCATTCTTGCAAACAGACACCCATATTTTTCAACATATTTGCCTTTCTGTTTTATTAAGAATGTTATCTTTTACAGAGATTATTATTTTCTATTTTACGTACAAATTGTACCTAACTATTCGTAAAAATGAACTTTCTGAGATCAATAAAGTGATAACGAATTATTTATACTTCTCATATTATTTTTCAATACAATACCTGAATACATACTGGTTGGAACTTTTAGGCTTTATCGGAGAACCTATCAATAGATAGTTGTTTTGAACAAGCCGCTGCGCATTTGACCGAAATAGCTTATTCTCTGGACTCCAATACGTTACTGTACTTCTACGCTAGGTACAAACAGGTCAGTTACTGTTTACATTTTTGTAGTCTGACTTGTGTGCAAATTTTAACAGAATATTTCCACAGCATGTTTCCATCGATCCAGCACACCGGCAACCTAAATGTGTCTTTCTTAGAATCATGTCCTGAAGCTGAATGTATACGTATAAAAAATTCACTTCTTTGTTCTTAATAAGTTACTAACTTGCGCCTGTTACGCCTCGTGGAGGAGCATAGGCCACCCACCAGCATTCTTCGTCGAACTCTGTTCTATATATTTATTTATTTGGACGCATAAATATTAGTACAAAGGGGAACCGAATACGTATGCGCAACACAAGCCACTTGATTCGTGTGTGATAAGTGACACTGCCCGGGTACCCGAACCGAAGCAAGTGGTTTTCTTAGGGGATCACACCCGAAGCCTTCGATCTAAAGGTCTGATCAACAAGGCAGCGGAGCAACGTCAGTGATGCAGTCCCATGGTAGCTGGTGACAAAAGATTGGTTTATACGCCACTTGTTAACTTAGGATCCTGGAGCCCATGTGCACCATTGGTTTGGAATCAGGGTTTTCTAACTCTTCTAGATGGACCCTCCATATCTGCCAACTCGGACATTCGCTTTTCGTCCTCTTAATTTTGTAAACAACACCCGTGTTGCGAGAAGTTAGTGAGTAGGACTTCTCTGGCAGTGGCTGTATACGCGTGGCTATGTGGAGAGGGAGCTAACTCTATACACCCTTGGCCGTACCAGGGCATTTGGGGGCAATTCTTTCCAGTTGCTGATCATTTTGGTGTCTGTCTCATTCCTTGGAATTCCTTTTTTCCATTTCCCTTCGGGATTCCAAGTTAGGGCTTGCCCCGTAATGCAGTTTGATGACTTCCACAGTGTATGTCTTATCCACCTTCAGCGTCTTTTACTAGTTTCCACTTCATATAAATGTTTCTTTGTTCTCTGCTACAGTAGGTTATTGCTGATGGTATCCGGCCAAAAGATATTGAGTATTGAGTGAATACATGTTCCCTTTTTATATTGATGATTGTAGTAGTTCTTCATGTTTCAGCTCCATACAGTAGAATTGTCATGACGTTCGTATTAAAGATTCTCATTTTGATATTGGTTGACAGTTGTTTTGATTCCCATATGTCCTTCGACTGTAGGAATGCTGTCCTTGCTTTGCCAATGCTTACCTTCACGTCCGCATCAGATCCTCCTTGTTTATCGACGATACTGTCCAGATAAGCGAAAGCTTCCACCTCTTCCAGAGTCTCTCCATCAGGTGTGATTGGGTTGGTATTCTCCGTGTTGTATTTGACGATCCTGATTTTTCCCTTGTGCATGTCGAGGCCTACTGATGCAGAGGCTGCTGCCACACTGACCGTATTCACCTGCATTTGTTGGTGTGTGTGGGATAGAAGAGCTGTCCACTGTATTCCGTGCTTCATCTGAGATGTCGAGCTCTTCATAATCCAGTCAAGCATCAGAAGAAAGAGAACGGGGAGGAGTAAACAGCCTTGTTTGACTCCGGTCCTCACTTGTAATGGGTTTGTCAGCTGTCCTCCATACATGACTGTGCAGTGTAGTGCATCGTATTAATTCCGTATGGTGTTGATGATTTTCCCTGGTACATTATAGCGTCGAAGAGGGTTCCATGAGGTTTTCCTATCCACACTATCAAACGATTTCTCATAATCAAGGAAGTTAGTGTATAGTGACGAGTACCATTCAATTGATTGTTCAACGTTGATCCGCAGTGTCACTATTTGGTCTATGCACGACCGATCCACACGGAATCCGGTCTGTTAATCTCGAAGCTGGTCGTCTACTGAATCTTTCCTCTGGTTCAGCAACACTGTTGAAAACGTTTCCTGGTACCGATAGTAGTGTGATGCCTGTGCAGTTCTCACACTCGCTCAGATCTCCTTCACTTGGTACCCTGATGAGATGTCCTCTTCTGTCTGTCTGTCTGTCTGTCTCTGTCAGTATGTCGTCAGTTGTTTCTTCTCCCAAATCCTCGTGAATGGAACATGGAGTATGTTTGTAGTTATTTCCATGTATGACTTCAGTGATTCAGTTGGTAAATTGTCAGGTTTGACTGCTGCTGTTGCTGTTTTCCCACTGTTGATTTGTCTGATGACCGGTCATCCTGATTTCTCCGATCGTTGGTAGAATGTCAGTTTTAGGAATGTGTGCATGTGTTGCTCCGATGTCCGGCGGGTTCACTGGAGCTGGTCTATTCAGGCGTTCCTCAAAGTGTTCTACCCATCCATTCCTGCCTTGCCTTGTTTGTCCTTAATCGGTCTCTCTGGTTCACTCCGTTTCTCTGCTTGTCACTTCGTTGTGCCATATGGTTTTCTGACATTTCCTTGTGTTACAGCTTCTTCCACTGTCGTCGTTAGGCGTTCCTCGTATTTCTTCCTGTCGACTCTAATGCTCCTCTTCACTTGTTTGTTTGCTTCTGTGTATCCAACTTGTGTCCTGGCCTGCTTCTTTCTTGTTCGGCTATTGTTAATTGCAGTGCTTTTGTTCTTCCTTTGTTGAATCCAAGACAGGGTTTTCATAGAGATCCATTCCTCATGATACTGCTTGTTGTGATGCAGCACTTTTTGACACGTTGAAGTTGACGTTACTTTGATCCCTTTCTAGTTGTTCGCCATAGTAGTTCCTTCTTCTTCTTCTTCTTCTTCTTCTTCTTCATCTTTGAGTAGTTGCTGTACGGCTTGAAACCTTTTGTTGTGAGCTATCTAGAAGCCGTTGAGCTTGTCGATATGTCGAAGGACGTCTGTATTGAATCATTGTATTGCTGTTTCCCGAATTGTCCGATGCTTGTTTAGCTTCAGTTTGATCATGGTCAAAACCAGGTGATGGTGGTGGTGGTGATCTGGAGTTATATCAGTTCCTGTTCTTGTTCTCATGTCTCCCTTCGGCCGTCTGAATGTTTTACTGGTGCAAATATGATCTATCTGGTTCTCCGTGGTGTGGTCCGGTGGGATCCATGTGGCTTTGTGTATGCGTTTGTGCGGAAATATTGTGTTGCCTATGATCAATTTGTTGAATTTACATAGATTTGCAAATCTCTTTGGATTGTCGTTCGCTTCTCCCAGTCATTCGATGCCGTCCGATGATATCTTCGTAACCATTGTTGTCCATCCCGACTTTGGAGTTCAGGTCTCTCATCAGGATGGTCAGGTCATTTGCTGGGCACTTAGCTATGATTGATTGCAACCTCTCGTAGAAATGGTCTTTATCGTTATCGTTGGTATCATTGGTGGGTGCATAACATCATTGGATGAGATTCGTTGTGATTGCCTCCTTATTTGTTTTGAAGGATGTCTTGATGATTCTGGATGCATGAGATTCCCATCCTATGAGTGCTTCTCATGTTTGTTTGGACGGCATCAGAGCAACTGCCTGAATGTGTGGAGCATTTTCCTCCTCATGATCAGAGTACAGCAGCATTTCTACCGAATCGATCGTGTTTTCTGTCGAGCTTGGTTCCAATGAGTTTCACTGAATTGAAGCACCGTCAATTTGTATCTCGTCATTTCCATAGCTATTTGATTAGTCCTCTCGATCTCCCACATTGTCCGAACATTCCATGTGCCTATATTAATTGTTGTTGTGTTTGTTAGAAAGGTCATCGGCCTCATGACTTCCGAGGAATCTTGGGTTTTATTATGAGGCGTCATAATTCTTCTGGAAGAAGATGCTTCAACTGGGAAGTTAGAGTTTAGATGGTTTAACTTGTTTATTCTGGTTATCGATTTTTAGCAAGGTTGTTTTCCACATGATAGGGTTTCTGACGCCATTCTCAACCCTCCTCCTTTGTGTGTGTCTGGGACCAGAACAACCGTAGATAGCTACATACTGGGTTCCTATCTCAGACATCACACCAAATATTTCTGAAAAGCTTTATTCTATAGGACCTAACTAATTCGTTAGATGAAGAGCCAGGGAAAACTAAGATCTATTCGAGTCGAAAAATCTTATCGTAATGCTAGTCACTGGATGATGATGCGTCATAATGATTAAATAAATCATCTGAAAGCTTTTTACTCGACCAGTATTGACCAGTCAGAACTGTCATCGAAACTACTAACCTCAAGTAGTATTCATTGTCTCATCAAGTCACTCATAGACGTGACTATTCTGTTTTTTTTTCTGTGATTTTTGTCGCACATAGAAATTCAATCATCAAATAGAACTACATTGGTGACATGGTTTTTGTTAACGAAGACGCTGACAGAAAATATTAAGATTATCTAGAATGAAAATAAAGTGGAATACAAAGTAGAGAAATATGAAAAGTTCATTTGTAATAATCTGATTTCGAATACCATTTAATTAAACAATAAGGCTAGATGAATAAAACGTTTTCTCCATAATTATTCACTATAATCTTTGTGTGTAAGCTGGAATATCACACAAACCCTTACACTGAAACAGGTGATTTCTAAATGGACCACCTCATGCTTTTGATTTAGAGGTCTAGTCCTTGAGTCAATGAAGCAGTCACGAGATACAGTCCCAAATTAGCATCATACGCGCTTCGTCTCTTTCGGATCCTAGAGTTCATGTCGACCATTCGTTTTTGATTAAAGTTTTCTAACTTCCTTAGTTGGACCTGCTCTACTCACCAACCTGTTCTGAACGCCATGTCGGGTTCGCAGGAGAACGTCCTCGTCACGTAAAGGCAATTAACAGTACTTCTGTGACAGATTTTATAGACGCGTGATCGTATGACAGCGTTTTGAGAATGCGAACAGACTTCTTTCCATCGCCCATACCTAGAAAAGCAGTAAACTATAAGCTTATCACTTCAATCTCTACTTATTTAGGATTGTTTTT